AGTAGTCCTGGGATCAGGTATTAGCTCTACAGCTGACAAGCTTGTATCATTTTGGGCAAAATAATCTAAGCATCTTAAGTTTCTTACCTGTAAAATAGAAACACCACCACCTATTTCAAATTACAAGGTTTGTGTGAGGGTCAAGTAACAATTATGAAAGCTCTTGGCATGGTGTCTGAATTTAACATTCCATCTATTAAATGTATTAAATGATAATGTTTTTCTAATATATTATTCAAATATCTAAGGTTGGAGAAAAACTATTTTTCAGTCATTCTAGGATATACATTTTTTCACATTTTTCTCTAAATGAAATCAAACAGTACCTTATAGTTAATGGCATGTCATTGTTTATTTGGCAGTGACTTTTCAGTGGTACGTAAGTATATAGTGTATCCTGCAATTAAAGGCTGCCTCATATATGATGAAGTACCCTGACTCCGTTCAAACAGAACTGTGGTACTTAACCAAATAAGGTAGCATTTATCAAAATATACATTAGAAACAGAAAGGTGTGTGTGGGGAAGAGGTTGTATACATATATACATGTATGTACTTTGTGTGTGTGTGTCTGTGTGTGTCTGTGTGTGTGTGTGTATGAGTAGGCTGTAATTTTGCTTTACATACCTCTGTAGGTCAACTATTTCATTGTTAAGAGTATCTAGTTCCTTAATAGCAGAGAAATCTGCAACAGGACTTGATCCTATGATGTTCTAAAAACAAAAAGTTCACAATTATACATTACTATAAAATTATGCAATATATAACAAGACACTAAAAATATTAAAGCTCTACCCAGATACAAGGTATTGCATATTTTACTCTATTACTGACACTTTCCACTAAAAAAAATCATATCCAGTGCAATTATATATAATTTTATACTTAATTATATAGTAAGACATTTACATTTCCCTTAAATTCTCTGAAAACTGTTATTCTATACTATGTACCCCATCCCCACCTCCGATCTGAATGTCTTTGTCACTTGATCCTAGCCTGTTCAGAACCTTGCAGTAAAAGAGATGCCAGATTCATAAACTAATTCCTCCACCGAAGTATAAATTCTTAGAAAAATTGATGGTGATTTATTTGTATTCGTATTTGTTGAATCTATTCAACAAATTTGTTGAATCAGAACTACAGTAGTGGTTGATTTTATTTAATTCAAGGAATTTACACTTTTTTTACATACTGTGTCTATTTTATTTAAAGTAAATCATCATTCTACAAACTGTGACCTTTTATAAATGTAAGCTATTGTTATAATTAACTCTTCAATAGAATATGTTCTTAAAATATGTGGCCTCCCATTGAGTTGTTTCTACCTTGGCTCTATGTCCTTTGTAAACTATCGTTGATGCCCCAGAGAGCTGGCTGAAGTCAGAGCGAAAAGATAAATGCTTCCTCAGACATTTCATCTACACCCAATGCTACAACCAGATTAACAAATAACAGGATAATTACCATCTGGAAACGTTAAAACTGAGGCCTGAACATGTAAAAACTAAGATATACTGCTGACTTTATATAATATAACAGAACATAAGACTTAGTGTTAATACTTATGTTGTTGTATAGTTAATTTACGTCAACAACTTGCACAACAGAAGAAACCTAAAAGCACACGATATCTCATCTCCTCACATTTATATACTCATTTACAATTCACTAAGCACTTTAAATTCCACTAGTTAATTCTCAACACTAATCTGTAAAGTGGGCAGTAGGTAGGGCAGATATTATTATTAACCCTATTTTAGAACTGAGGAAACAGATTAAATGACTTGCTCAAAGTTGAACCCAGCCAGTATGCAGTTTAATCAAGAGTCTTCTGATTAAAGTGCTATTTCATGCAATGCCCCCAGTGGCACTTGCATATCAAGATCATTTAGGTAAATAAAATTATTACTCTAAAAGTAAATTTGATAAAACAGGTACATCAATAAAATTTAGCAAGTAATTCCTTTTATATTTCTTTATGCCACACTGCACTTTTAGTACTAAGCTGTTTTGACTATCAGTACTAAAATTCATCTGAGAAGGTTTAATACTAATCTCAATTTTATATTAATTATAGCTTTGTATGAAATACATCTCTTATTTTCTGTGTTCCACTGATATACAAAAACGTATCAATGTTAAATTAAATTAGGTATTTTAAAGTGGATTTCTGAATGCGACAACTATTCACTAGTATTTTAACTCTGTCTAAACCTGACCTATGAGCTAGGCCTGGCCAGACAGCTAAACAAAATGAAACATTAGCATTTGGTCTCACTTTTATCAGCAAGAGTAACTTACTTCACTTAAATGCTATGAAAAATTTGCTATCAGAGGTGCAAATGTACCAAAGAACTTGTGACTACCACACCTCCTCTGTCACTTTAACTCAAAAAAAGGTGACTCACATTTTATAGTCTTCCCTGTAAAATTATCATCAAATAAGAAGACAGAGTGAGACAAATTAGTTTAACCTCAAACAAGCTAGAAAGTGACATCCCAGATACTGAAAAAAGTTTAGCTAATATTTTATGTAGCATTTGAAGGGTATATGAGGAAAAATATATAGCATGTTCCCTTCTTTCAAAATGTTTCCTCTCACCCTATCTTGTATATTACACAAAAATTCCACTTTGGTGATGTTAAGTGGATCAGAGAGTCTAGGGAAGGTAGGCTAAAATGCACACAAGGACCAAGTGACATGTGACAAAAGCATGCTGTTTAGGAATTTTCTCCTTTTTGCTGAATAAAAAACCTCTCATTTCAAAATGTATCTTGTAAACCAAAAACTACAAAGCTAAAAAAGGCATAAAATAAAGCTCTAACCTTGAGAGAGAGTAGAGTTAAGAAACTGACAGTACAAGAAAGGCGAAAAGCAGAGTGCTGCAGAATGGAAAAAATAGTCCAAACTAGAAAAAACACAGAAAGGAAAGCAACATTCAAAAAAGGATTAGTCAAAGCTGCAAAAAATGCAGTACTAAAAAAACAGATTAAAGAGAAAAGAGGTTATTTGAAAGATAAAACAATGCAAGTTTTCATTTTTAAAGTTAAAATTTTGGGTTAATAGATAAGACAGCAGTGATAAATTCCCATTTCCATGAATAATGCTGGTGTCTGACATAAATAGACAAATGTATCTATGATCTAGTGAATGAACTTCAGACAACTGTATACCTCATGCAACTTCAAGCATCTACTAACATAGAGACTTCAATGAACAAACTTAATTTGCTCCAGAAATTTCTGTCGTATCTGTAATTTGTGTTGGTAGGCAACTGAATAGGTTATAAAATGAAGAAGGCGAAATAAAAAAACAGTCTGCATAGGTGAAAGAAAGCATGAAACAACACAGTATTCCATAACTGAGGTACAGTTATACAGCAAAGAGCAAAAATGCAAATTCAGTAACCTTTATCTTTCTGGGTGGCATCACTTTTCCACAACTTAAGGGACCCATGTCCATAAGGAATCAAAAAATTCACAAAATGCCCCCCCCAATAACTCACAAAGCAGACAATATTTATTTTATTACAAATAAGGACAAAAACTACTGTAAGTAACTCTCCATACCTGAGTTATAAATTCCATTTAGTTTACTTAAAAAATCCAATTTTCTTTCTTTCTTTCTTTAAGAGATAGGGTCTTGCTCTGTTGCAAGACCCTGGGTTCAAGTGATCCTCCTGCCTCAGCCTCCCAAGTAGCTAGAACTACAGGTACGTGCCAATGCACTTGGTTAATTTTTTTGTTTTTGTAGAAACAGGGTCTTGCTATGTTGCCCATGCTGTTCTGGAACTCCTGGCCTCAAGTGATCCTCCCACCTTGGACTCACAAAATACTGGAATTACAGGTGTCAGCCACTGTGCTCAGTCCCAATTTGATTTTTGTTAAGCTTTTTAAAATGGGATTTTTAAGAACCATGTGACAAAATTAATCCAAAACCCAAAATATTCTATGATATTTTAAAGAGCCCTCCTCATACCACACATTTGACAACTCTTATTACTGTGTAACAACCCTGAAAAATCGCCACAGCCATAGTTACTTTATAGGCCGTAAGAAATTTAAAAATACAAAGTATTTATTTTTAAAGGCAAATAGCCACTATGGTATGCAAGTCCTTTCAAAGGTCTACTAAAGGCCAAGATATTGTAAATGCATCATACTAGGAAGGGTTTCTACATGAGAGAAAAATCAAGGCATGACTAAAACAATGAAGTTTTGAAAATTCTCACTGCTGTCTAGAAACCAAAACTAGGTAAAACCCACTTCTAGCTGTTCAAATATGAAATTCAGCAGTACACTCAGGAATAAAAGGTCATCTATGGCAAAAACCACACATATATATCCTCAACATAATGTTCTCCTTGGAGGCTTTTTTGATGTAAAATTGACACCAAGCAACCATCATATGCAAGATTCTGTTTTCAAATCTGTATCATTTTATGTAAGAGTGAATCATCAAGTAAAACACAATAATTTAATTTTTATAGCTTTCCTTTTATAATCTATTCATAAAACTTAATTCACAAATCCAGCAAAGGAAAAATAAGTCCACATTTTTCCAATTTTAAGATTGGAAATATAGTTGTCATGTTTAATGAATGGCGTAAACAAGCTACTGGCCAAGGATGTTATACAAGGCACTCCAACATATTTATAGGCACAAACTAAACCACAAACAGTATACTGTTCTGCTCTTAGCCAGATACATTTTCTCTTCTATTCCATCCAAACTGAATCTGTAATTTGACATAGTATTTGTTCCTTTGAAATTAATGCATTCAGGTTTTCTTTTAAGCTTTCTTACCTTTTGTAAACTGGCCCTGTCTGATGGTGGAATCATTTCAGGAGTAAGAACGTGAGGAGGATCAATGCCCTTGATTAACTTCTGACTGATTAAGTGAAAAGCCAAGGCAAATTGATCCTTTGAAAGTTTCCCACAGTCCTTTGTGTCGCATAATGACCTGCACAAATAAACAAAATAAACGGTATATAAGTGCCACAACTGCAAAAAGTCCAGAGAGAAAGTACTGCTATGCAGCTTTTTAAAAACAATGTGGTGAATTTAAAAAAAAAGTCACACCAACTTGCAAGTTATTAAAAACTCACTCAACTGTTCGAAGAGGTAGATCAGCTAAGATGGTAAAAAGAGAATGTTCACCCTGGTGCTGAGCAAGAGCCTCTAATCTGGGTTTACACTTTGTGTTTTCTTACCAATTTTCAGAACCACTATACAGTAAAAATTGTGGTGGGCCAAAGAATTCTAACATTCCTTACTCCCAACACATTTTTAACATTAAAAGATATTAAAGATAAAACCTAAGTCTCAACAAATTTGATTCACTGGTAGCATTAGAAGGATTCTAAAACAAGCACAATTTTCATGTTGCTATGCCTCCTGCAACTCTTGGAGTAGGAGGATACAAGGATCACCAAGCCAAAGCAGAATGAACAGCTGCAAATGGAAATCACATGTGAGGAAAAGGCAGCAATCTGGAAAGCTTTACACAATCACTTGAAGAGAAACAGCAAACGTTTTACTCTATTTTCTTTTTCTGTAAGTAAAAAAAAGAAGTTCAGCTTTCTGAAATCCTGATCTGTTTAACTCATTGAAGGCCAGTAGGGTCTGATGAAAAGACTACATACTTAAAAAGACTATGTGTCACATAGATCTTAAATTCCAGCTTTTCTACTTATTTCTTCTTGTAACCTTGGCTAAATTTTTTTAACCTCTCCAAACCTTAGTTTCCTCATCTATAAAGTGGAGATGATAACACTCATCTTATAAAATTACTATCAGAATTAAAGACAGGATATATAAAAAGTTTGGGCACAACATCAGGCCAGTGACAGCTGCCATTTATTGAGTATAGTGCCTACCCTAGGCACTCAATAGTGGCAGCTACTACTAATTATGCATATTTAATCTTTCCCAGTCTTGGGTTCTTGTTT